TAACATTACCCATATATATACATACATACACATGTGTGTATATATATATATATGTATGTGTGTGTATATATATATACATATATATATATACATATATATATATATACACATATATATAACATACATGTACAGAAAGGTATAGCCAACATTGAAAGAGAGCGGGTTGGAGGCATAGAGTGGTTTCATGCCGTCCTCACGAAGACGAGGACTGTGTGGCCTTTCCTGCAGGGGACCTGAAGGTTCAGCGGAACCCAACCTGCAACTCGCGACAGTACGCCGGAGGCCTCAGCTGTTGTCACCACAAGCGGATCATGCTGGATGCAGACCAGGAGATCCGACCCGAGCTATTGAGGTATCACATGAAGTTCCGGTTCTGGTTCCAGGAATACAAGCCGGCACAGACAGGAGCCAAGGCTTCGCATGCGGACCTTCCGCGCATCTACTATCAGACGGAGGCCCATGCAGGTGAGTATGACATCCCGCCTGCTTTTGCCAAGCCGGGGCACCCCGTCGTGGGCTATCCCGATTGGCCTGTTGGGACGCCTACGCCAGGGACGAACTGTACTGGAACCTGCCCCGATGGCCCGGACTGCGAGTGCGTCCATACCATCACGTCCCGAGGCATGCAGTTCAGGAGAGGTCTTGATACGTGGGTTCTAGAAGTTTGCACGAGTCTAATCAAGCTTCAATGTTGGACATCAGCCAGGTATCACTGGACTGTCAGCAACATCCGCCTCATATATGCTGGAGGGCACTGTCATGCGCCAAGCTGCATCTCCATCGAGCTGTACCACAATCTCACCGGCACACCAGAGCTCCTGTGCCGGCAGCTGCCTTATTATGGCCAGGGCAACTTCCCCAAGGACAGGAGCCCTAGACCTTGATAGCCCCAAGCCCCACTGAACCCTAAAACCCTAAAGGCCCTAAACCCTAAACCCTAAACCCTATACCCTATAGGCCCTAAGCCAGGACAAGTGGGACGAAGCCGGCTATGTAACCTTGCCTCCCTGTCTCTGGAGTGACGAAGATCCGAAGCTGGACCGATCTGTTTGGTTGCCGGCCAACACACCGCTCTTCTCCATCAAGAAGTGCCTTGGACCAGCTGGCGGTCACGGGCTCGGGGGGTTAAAAATGCGGTTTCAGGGATTTTATGTTTAACTAAAGAAACGCACCTAGAAGAGTTCTGTACTGGGGACAAAAAGTTAAAGCCTGAAACTTCGATCTCCGATGTTCTCTTTTCCTTTTCTTCTGTAAGCATCGCGTCTTTCAACAACAGACGGACGTCCCCGCAAGACCGCTGCAGACTGCCAAGGAATAATAACACCCACCTTGGTCACTTTGGTGGCTGGGCGGAGAGAGTCTGCGTTCTAGGGTTAGTTAGGATTCAGAATCTAGGGCGTAGCATTTAGGACATGGGGTTGGGGATCAGGTTTACGTAAGGGTTGCAAGTTATTCGTTTTCGTGACAGCTCAACAACGGCACCCCGGAGCACAGGCGAGATGGCTTCCTGGCAGATGCGCGGCGTGAACTTCCCGGCAGACCCACCCACCTTCGTCTGAGAGCAGCTACAATAGGATATAGTACATGACAGTATACTATGATATATTATAGTGCATCACTTTATCAATATTCTTGTATACCCTAGTATACTATGCCATACTGAGTATACAATATATAGCACATTACGTTGTACGTACTACAGTCAATAGCACATTATATAGCTTACTATCTCACTCGTTTCATACTACTGTACATCATAGTATACTACCGTATACTTAAGTATAGGGCGCAGAGTCGCGCCCTGCAGTGAGCTTGTTGGAGCCCTGCAGGGCTCTCACGAACTTGGAGGCTCCCTCTTGGTGCTCGTAGAGTTATGGTTTAGGGTTAAGGGTTTAAGGTTTAGGGTTTAGGGTTTAAGGTTTAGGGTTTAGGGTTTAGGGTTTATTATGCAATCCTAAAGTGCGCTGAAAGCCGAGCTCACGGGATTTGGTACAGTGCAGTATACTACAGTACATTATGTTGTGCTGTATACTTTAGTGACTTTAGTGTGCTATAGTGTACCATAATATACTCGGTTTTACCGCAGTATATAGTATACTATAGGTACTATACTATGATGAGGACGGTTAGATAATGCTGGTGCCACCTCTGTATTCGAGCTGCTATTGTTGCTGTTGTTTCTGAAGCTGCTGCTAGGCATTGTCAGAAAACTGGAGGCACCCGTGTAGATCATGACATGCCACAAACAAGCCTGCTTTGCAGAAACCCATATGCCATGTACAAGGCTTAGACGGTTTTCTACAGCCCAAGCGTTTGAGATCTGGCCTTCAGTGTCAGTAGCTTGAAGTCACACCCCGAACTTTCAATCCGTCATACGTTGGTTGGTATGCAGCCTCGGAGTTTGTGAGAATCGGATGCAACGTGGTGTACACAAGCTATGCATTTTTGGGTAGTCCGATCGCCTTTCAGGCGGCTCTTTGGGGACAGTGGTGATATTTGAAGCGCACCAGCTTGTGCAAGTTTGAAAGCTTCTGGGAGCTGACCGCATAGCCGAGAGAAGCAATCACAAGGGGGCCTTGCACTGGGCATCGCGGCATAGTGTTCAGGTTTTAGGGTCTGCTGCTTTGGGTGTTAAGGCTCTCGTTGTGTTTGGCCTTCCTGCGGCTTGTAGGGACGATTGCGTCCATTGCTTTGTAGCATCCGTTGCTTTGTGCCTGTCCTGTCCTGTGTCACGACTGTCCTGCTATTCTCGTCCTGGCTGCGGCGGGCGTTCCGTTTGTTGTCTTTTCATTAATTGTGAGAGCCATCGTTTCTGTTCCGACAGGTTGTCCTGTTTGACAGCGTACGCTGCTACTACTGCTACTGCTACTGCTACTGCTACTGCTACTGCTACTGCTACGACGACGACGACTACAATGTTACAACTACTACTATCAATGGCTGAAATCCGGGGTCCACTTCCCTGGGGTTTAATTCCCTTGAGGGTTTATATAACCAATAGGATCCAAAAAAGTCTAAAAGATGTAATAAGGATCTACTAAGATCAAAAAAGACGTAATAAGATCTACTAAGATCTAAAAAGACTTAATAAGATCTACTAAGATCTAATAAGTTCTAGTAAGATCTAATAAGATGCTACTACCACTAATACTGTGACTACTGCCACCACCACCACCACCA